AGCAGCCTGCAACGCAGAAGACAGAGGAACTGGATTGCAGCTGAGAGGTGCTGAGCTGTGGATGGATGAGCACTGAGGATGGACATGCAGAGAAACAGTCTTGAGACAGACAAGGTCTACAGTGTTGAGGATGGCTCCAGGGGCTGTCCCAGCAGACCTACCAAAGGGCAGAGCTGCAGGCACCAAGTTTCTGCTGCAGGTGGAGGGGGAAAAGAGCAGGGAAGGAAAAACATCTCGGCTCCATTCATTAGAGGAAATCAGAAAGAATAACTTCACTGGACCTGCAGCATCAGAAAGAGCCAGAATTTCCATCTGTGCAGAACGAAGGGAGAACAAGGAAGAGTGGTGTCACTATCCAAGGAGGGTTGGACAGGAAGGGTAACATCAGGATGGCAGTGCTGATGAGTGACACTCATTATGAGAATAACAAGAGGAATGGAGGGAGGATGGAGCAACAGGGATTGCAGCACCCACAGTGGAGATAAAAAGCTGGTACGTTTTCAGTGTTGAAATGAAGGACTCTCCAACCCACAGCACGAAGAGCACCCATGCCAGAATCCACACATCTGGCAGAGATTGGTCCCAGGGGGCCCACAGCGAACAGGACAGGGGACAGGGCTGTCAGCAAGAGCTCAGCACCATACAGAGATGAGATGATATTTGAGAGGAGAGGGTAGAGGCAGGCACAGAGGGAGAAGGAGGCATCCACCTTTAGAAGGTCCATTGTATCAGACCACCCATCCCTTGGGAGATGCAAACTCAGAGATCCCTGTGTCTGCAGAGAAGCAAAACACTTATGGAAATGCCCCAAAGCCAAGACTAATGACAGGAAGGTGCTCTAAGCCGGAGGCTTTGGGATTTGGATGCTGAAGGGGTGTGCTGCTCTGGTGGAGGATGGTTACAAGATGTTGGTGGGACAAGATAAGGCAGCATGAGTCACCACTGCATCGCGCCAGGTATTTCCACTACACCGGAAGCGTTTGTGCCAGAGCTCGAAGTGCCCGCAATGTGTGCATGTGTGCACAGCTTTTCTGCATGTAAAGGACAAGGGAGAGAGACTACACAATGGACTGATGACATCAAACCTCTGACCACACTCCTGCCAAGGGCCCGAAATTCATCAGCATAAGTACATGACAGCTCAAGCTCAGCAAATACAAGCTCAGACATTTCTCACTCTGACATAATTATATCCCTTCTAGTATGCTATCATGCCCAGGAATCCAGTAACAAGATTGCAACACTCTTGAAAGCAACCAGACCTTCCTCTTGTGTTGCACAGTGATGTTATCTCGGCTGCCACCACCCTCGAGCACAGCTGACAGCACCAGCGCGTGACTCACCAGGACATGACTGTGCCATGCCTGGCAGCTGATGGCACGGAGACATCCCAAAATCCCTCTGCCAATGTGCGGTCCCTGGGGCTCCCGCTAAACAAGACCTGGCTGCACTCCCAGGGAGACGACAACAGGTGTGCATTTGCATCCTGCTAATGCTTGTCAGCTTTTGCCAAAACCCCCCTACCACCCACCCAACTGATGACCCCAACATTGCAATGGCCAAAAATGATCACTTTTATGCCACTTCATCCTCCACGGACCACTAGTCTGACCCAGATTGCCACCTCCATCATGGTGTAACCCTCTCTGGGCCTGGCCAGCACCTCTTCACCACACCACAAGATACAGATGCACCCTTCATTGCCACATAGACATGACCACAGCCCTTGCCATGGCCCCAGGGCTCAATCGCCGGCTGTAACACAGCTGCGGATATGCCCAGAGCAGGAGACCATGTGCTCACAAGACCACACGAGCTCCTCCATCACAGCCAAACCCCAGCCATTTCCACATCAGATGCACATCCCCAGGCTGTACTTACTTCATGTTCTCCACAGAGCGTCCCCGAAGAGCTGCAAAGGGTGACAGGAGGGTGGCCATTGCCACAATCCAGAAGTTGAAGAAGCCCACCTTGCAGAAGTAGTGGAAGGTGGCATTATACCAGAAAAGCATCAGGGCTGCCAAAGGAAGGAGGAGCAGCAGCCCGTGGAGCAGGAGCACCTCCATCATGCTGCCCCGGCGGGAGGTTGCTGGGGAGCTCAGCCCAGGTTCCTGGGAGCAGGGCAAGTGGAGCAGGGGAAGCCGAGGAGCATGGCAGGTGAATCAGTGTATCAGCAGAGCAGCACGTGGGCGTTTGGGGCTGGTCCCCGGGAAGGTGCTGCGTGTATCTCGCCCTGTACAGAGGTCTGAGGATGGACTGGCTCAGGTGGGAGGCATGCTACCCCACCAAGGGTGGAGAGCGGTGGCAAGTCAACACCAGTGACCCTGGGTCACCCAAGGTGTCACTGCTGATAAGTGCCCTCCTGAGCTGTTAAAAGCCATTGCAGTTCCTCTGAGTTGGTGATATCAGATCTGTTGTCCACGCTCCAGGCACCTCTCCTGGTCACAGGGACCCCCAACCCTGGGAAAGGGGGATTAGTTGGTAGAGACAGCAGGAACTGGTTTTAGTGCATGGCCATCACCCCTGCAAGGCTTGTCGCAGATAACTGTTGGCATTGTGGCCAATCCCCAAACCTCACCCTGCAGACTATCAGATTATTGGAAGATATCTCCCTGCTTGCGTCTGCAGCAAGCATGTGGTGACAGTGCTCCCCGTCTCCCGGATTTGGGCTGCAGGAGCCCCTCTGCCCTTCCCCTCCCGAGGCCCAGCATCTGTCACCAAGGTCTAAGCAATGCCACAGGGGTCTGAGCCCTGCCACCCCCCTGCTCCCACCCTGGGCTGAAGGAGATGCCAGCCCTCGTCCCAGTTGGCTGCCAGGGGCTGCATTGCGTTAGGTGTTTACATAGGTGCAGTTAGCATGCACAGGGCTGTAATTAGCCTCTCCTTCCGCTCTGTTGCTTTTGCACTGGCCACGCAGGATTCAGGCCAGCTCTGGATTGCCATGCAGAAACTCTGATCTTATTTTAAAAAGGAAGTGCTTGTCATTGCAGATATAACTCTGGCTTGGCCTCAGCCACAGGCAGCATCTCCCAGTCCGGCTGTTCTATGTCCCAAGCCCTGCCAGGGACATCCACATGCTGTTGCCCAGACCCATTGGTTTGTCTCTGACCCCCGGGGCAGGAGGCTGTGAGCAGAGAACTTAGCTTATACCTTCCCATAACAACCCCACCATGACTCTGGGGCAAACAGTCCCATTATGCTGTGCTGGGGAGAGTCATCACATCAGCTGGGTCAAACCCAGCAGCCCTGCCCCTCATCTGACACAGCCTACCTTCAGCAAAACCACTCTGCATCTCCCCTGCTCCCTTCACCTCCATGCCCATGGCTGGTCTTCCCACCTACACCTCCCTGTCCCTGCTGATGTGGGTCCAAGGAGATGCCTTTGGGCTCCTGGCTGTGGGATGCTCTTCACGCTGCCAGCAGAAGGGTGCCCCTGATCAACCCATGAGAGGCCTCCAGGGGTTGCTTCCACCATGGGTGTTGCAATCCCCATTGCTCCATCCTCTAATTCCTCTCATTATTCTCATATTCAAACTAAGATTGGGCCATAGCTCGAGCCCACCCTTCCTGTCCACCCCATCCCCAGGTGACTCCTCTCCTTCCTCTTCCTTTTCTGTCTATGCAGATATGGGAACCTTTGTGCATCAGCCTGTCTTCCCATCAAACTCAGCTCAGCTTCTGGATGGTCTCCTTCACTTTGGCTCTTGCTGCTCTGTCTGGTCGATCTCACAGCCTCTCAGAGTTTTCCCAGCTGGAGATGTGCCCTTCATGCCTCAACTTAATGTGGCTCTTTTGCTCCACACTGAAGAGCTGCTTCTCCAGCTTCAGCAAGAGCCAGGCTGAGATTTGCTGCAGGGAAAGATCTGCCTGTGACAGAGCACAGCTTAGTCCTGGCCTCAGGAAGGATGAGTCCTCCTTTCCACAGGGACCCCAGAGGACAGGGCAGTCCTCATGCCCAATGGGGGCAGAAGGAGGGGATTTAAGGTGCAACTGCTTGAGCATCATCTTTCTGCATGCTGTGAGCTCCAGATGGCCACCAGCCCTGAAGTCTCCTGCCAGGAGCTTTGCTGTTAAAGCAAAGCCTCCTGAAAAGTGGCCTGTAATCTCACTGGGGTCAGAGCAGGGCTGTCAGCCCCACATGGGGTTGGGGAAATAGCAGCGGCAGGGGACACCTTCCAGCACCCAAAATGCATCTGCCCCTTTTTTCCAGGTAAGCAGAGGAGACACTGAGTCCAAGGGAATCCCATGCTGATTCCCCTTTATCAGGCTGCTGCCCTGACTGCACCCCCACTAGGAACAAGCTGCAGGCCAGATCCAGGTCTCCCAGTGCTGTGCTCAGCCAGGAGCATCCCACTCTGCTTCCCAGCACCAACCATCAGCAGCCCCTGCCTTGCCCCAGTACTGGCATCAGGCGCTGATATACACCCCCTCTCCCAGGTGCAAGAGGCTCACGTCCCCCCAGCTTGGAGGGATCCCTGCACTCAGGCACAAAGCCAGCAGTCTGGGTAATTACAGATGCTTAATTAGTGACAGCAGGGCGCTCTCTTAACAAAGCAAATTAATTACAAGCAATGTGCTGCACTGAGATCTGAAGGGACTAATGAAGACCAGGACCACCTGGGCTGGCATTACCCACCCCCCTCACTCACAGGGACACAGAACAGCTCGTGCCACAGAGTCTTGGCAGAGACACATTGTCCAGCCAGGATTGGGATGTCACGCCTAACCTTCTGGGGATGAGTTCTCTGCAGAGTACAGAGATAAAGCCAGTCCCTGTTTGGGGTCACACTGTTACCTGGGATTTGGTGACAGGCTTCATGACCCCCCCTGGTTTGGGGTGGCTCGCCAGAAGGAAGCAAATGTGCTGGGGATATTGGCTTCCTCCCAGCGAGGCACCCCAAAAATATGCATACTGTGGAGCACCCACGCTGAGCACCTGCAGGTCTTCTGGGGTCAAAGGCTGGAACGTGCAGGAGAAAACATCTTGGGAAGCATGGAGCTCACAGCCTCTCCTCCATAACGTCGTAGTACTCTGTGGGGGGAAAAGGGGACCCGCAGGATGTTTTCCATGGCCACCCTGGGATCCGATGGGTGGAGGGGGTGAGGAAGGCTCAGCCTTTGAGTGGGGGCCGCCCACGCTTGATGCACGCTTGAGGGCAAGGTGTACCCCATTGAAGGACATGGGGACATCTCCTTACCTGATGCCGGTGGAATGTTGGCCCCCACTGTCCCTGTGGCACTGGGGGGTGGAGGAGGAGGCACTGCACTGCTGGAGAGGAGCAAGGACAAGAGTAAGTGCCAGCCTGGCATTGCTCCTAGTGTCCCAGCTTGGGCTGGAAGTCCTGTTACACCAGGGGCCACAGGGATGCACATGCAGCCCCACACGGGGTGGCACAAAGCACCCTCGTTACTCACACCTCCCCATCCTCCGCTAACGAGCCTGTGCCCAGGTACCGCACAGCTGCCCGTCTCCGATCCCGCGCTGGGACTGGCCACTCCAGGATAGGAGCAGGACTGGGGTAAGGGATGTAATGATGGTGGAAAACCACAGCCTCCTCTTCCTCTCCGGTCTGAAAAGGCACTGCCAATGCCTGCAGGGAGGAACAAAAGGCAGGGTTGTGTTGGGCCCCTTTCGGCAGCTGTCTCCCTGGGGCACTGCTCCCCAAAGCACCAGCAAGTGTTCCCTCGGAGCCGCATTTGTCTGCGATGCTGCCAGCATGGCTGGATTCTCCCAGGATCAGGCTGCATGGGTTTGAACCCACACAAACCCCAGTGGTCAGCCAGCATGAGAACCTGGCTGCTGAGGACACAGGGAGGTGACAGCCCCACAGATGGGACCTTAAAACACTGCTGGGAAGAACCCATTTGATCCAGCCACTGAGATGCAACAGGCAGGGTCCAGTGTTGACCAGCATGGTGAACTGGTGGGGACTGGGTGGGCAGCACAGCAGGGTGCATGCCTAGAGATGCCAGCTGGCAGAGATCAAGGCAACTGCCTGCAGCCCAGATCTCCCCCTGCTGAGAAAGCAACATTTGTTTCCCCCACAGAGATGAAATGTTTAATATGATTTTGGTTTGAGATGGACTTTTAAGTGAAAGCCCCTGCAGAGCCATCCTGCCTAATGAAAAGTGCTCAGCCTCACTGCTCTGCCGCTGCAGCCCAGCGCTTTACCCTGTCCGTGCTGCAGCATGCAGGGAGGGTCCTGGATCTTCCCAGCTGGCCTAACTTGCCTCCAAGCAGTCTGGATGCAATCTGTACTGGCAGAGCTGGGGGTCAAACCAGCATAAAGAACCCCAAACCCCCACGGAGCTGCAAAGCGTGGACTGAGCTGGGCTGGGACCACCCAACCTCTGTCTCTGGAGGTGTCCCACACTGTGCCAAAGTGGGACACCGTCACTCTACTCTCCTGAGCAGCTCTGGAAAGGTCATTTTTCCCACCTCTTTGGTCCTTTTGGTCCTTTGATTCTCTTTGGTACTGTGATCCCTTTGCCCATCCAGCATCCCGGACCCTTACCTGCGCAGTGGCTGGGGATGGCCCAAACCCAAAGGATGTCAGTGCTGATACAGCCAGGCTGTTCATCACCACCTGGTGCATTTGGGAGTTTTGAAGCAGCATCAACTTGATTAAATCTGCCAGAGAGTAAGGGATTCTGTGTCAGAGACCAGAGCAAAAGCATGAGAAACGCAGCCATGGGATGAGTGCCTGGGGTAGGGCAGCACCAAGGCTTGTCCCTGTGCCCAAGCAGTGGGAGCCAAGCCAGACTCCCCCCACCCCAATTTGGAAGGCCCATGTGGCATTTAAAAATTATTTTGCTTGGATAAAGCTTTAAAATAGCCATATTTTAGCCTTTTCTTCTTTGCAAATGTGATTAAACATCTGGTCTGGCTTGCTAAAGGCTGCTCACAAAAGGTGATTAGTGGTGCTGGAGGCATCAGACTTTCCACCCATTCGGAGGAGAATTGCTCCGGTTCTGGCAGCACTCAGCAGCTTGGCAAGGCTCTGCCTTGTCACTGGGCAACAGAGACAGTGTCCTCGGGGTGGCACCATGTGGGGAGCATGCCAGGGTCAGCTCTGCTTTGCACCATGTCACACACAGGGGAGCTCAGAAACCCCCTAAGGCGGCAGGAGCTGGGGCCAGACTGTGGGGGCTGATCTCCATTCCCAGAAGCAAGCACCTATGGAGCTTGGTCCAGGAAAGGAGCAGGCTGGGGATGCTTGGAGCCTCCTCAGCCCCTGTCTGGCTCTGCACAAGGAGCTGGACCCAGAGCAGCCATGCACGTACAGGTTAGCCTGCCAGTCCCCTTGGCTAGACGCCCAAGCCACAGGACGGCTGCTGAGGGCAGTCCGGCTGCAGAGGAAGCGCAGCGTCTAGCTCTGTATCCCCATTCGAACATCCCTTTTGCCTCAGGCATGAAGTTCCCTTGAAAAACTCCTATAAACTTCCTGGAGGGGATGTCTCTGAGATCCTGCTGGCTTTGCATGAGACCTATGAGCCCCTGTTAGCTGGAGCCTGGGTCAGAAAGTGTTTGGGCATCCCTGTGCCCCACATGCCAGATCCCAAAATGCTTTCACAGCTGCAGGGATGGGCTCCCAGGGCACCCATGAGTCAGCTGGCCCTCCAGAGAGGAGCATTACAGCACAGCCCCAGAGGTGGCCGGAGCTGGAGCCACGAGGAGGGAGTGGGCCAGCAGCCAGGCATTGAACTGGGAGGAGAAAGCACGCGAAGGCTGGCAGCTCTTAATGGATCCCACCCGTCCCACTGGAAAGGCAGCCAGTCCCCACCACAGGGCTGTGAGGGGCCAGGCTGGGGTCTCCGTTTTCTTTCCACACCAGTTTTCAGCGTGGTCTTTCCTCCATGGATTTTTAAAGACAGCTCAACCTTCCCCCCTCCGCACAACACTGCAGAGCTTCACCCATGACATGTCCCAGGGATCACATGCCCCCTCTGTCTCTGCTGTCAGCTCTCCCAGTCAGGATTGTTGGATCCTGGGTTGCACAAGTGTGGGTGAAGCCCCTATAGACAGTTGGTCTTTGCTCCTGCCTGCACATCCCATGGCCTCTGGGGCTGGCGTGTGTCTGACTCCGGTCCCACCTAGCATGGTCAAGAAGCCTGCATCACCCTGGCTTTTCCTTGGTGACGCTCCCTACACCCACATGAAATGGGATTTTTGGGAAAAAAAAGTAAAAAGAGAGGTCGATTTCAAAAAGCAGCCCAAAACCATTCCCTTGGAGTATCCTGATATGGCCAAATCCGGCCCAGACTTCAAGGTTGGTAAAACCACCAAAAATCGCATCCCATGGGGCAAAGCAGCCATCGAAGCACAGTGTGGCCAGCCCCGCAAGGCTGCAGGGGGTGGGCACAACCCCCCTGCCTGCCCTTCTTCCTTGAAAAAGCTAGAAAAAAAGAGAGGATGAAGTCAAGCTGGTTTTATCGCTGTCCTCTGCAATGTCTACCATCACGCACCTCCCCGGACGTGCGAGGGTCTGACGGGGGCCAGGGCACCCACGGTCCCGGGAAGCTGCTGGAGGATCACCACCGGCTGCTGGGGCACTGCCACGGCTTCCTGGGGAGATCGCTCAGGTTGGAGCTGAAAGGCAGGAGGGGAAGGAAAACCCCAGGGTTCTCCCACTCTTGGTTTAATTTAGTGCTGTTAGTGTGGCAGCCAGGGAGGAGAGGGGACAGGAGCTGGTGGCGCAGAGGAGAGCAGTGCTGGCCCCGGGGGGAGCAGGGATGAGAGCCCCAGAGGAGACAGTGGCTTGCACTGGCTTCTCTCTTTTCAGGGGTGCAGCCCTGCAAGCCTGGATGAATTGCACTCCTGGTAAGTCCCCACACCTGGGGACACGTCCCTGCACAGAAATGACCTCCCCAAGGCCCTGGGGTCTGCAGGGAGCAGGAAAGCATTTTGCAAATAGCAGCTTTGCTGCCCCAGACACCAGTGCCCACCCAAAACCCCAACTCCAGCCCCTCTCTCCTCCCACCCTATCCCATTTTTCCCACCCTACCTTCATGAGCCCAGACTATCCCACAGATCCAAAGACCGAACTTACCCCATGAGGGATGACATAGGTCCCTGCTGGGGGGTCCCCCGCTGCCCCCACCTCCATGTCTCGGGCCGGCAGGCAGATGGGGCGAGCAGAGCAGCAGCAGGCAGCAGGGCTCGTTGCTATAGCTGCTGGGGTTAAACAAACCCTCCCCGGAGGCTTGGCCGACAGAGGAGTATCCCTGGGCTGGTTTTCCCTGTAGGGTATCCCCAGTATAACCCCCCACTGCAAAAGGCTGTGGGGCAGGGATGATTTAGTGCCCCTCCAGTGATATTTCTGAGGCTGCAGGACAACCTTCCCCGTGGGGAAGTGAGCTGGAAGCAGAAGGTTGCAGGTTTATCCAAGTCCTGATACTGGTCCCAGTTGCAGGGGAGATCTGGTGCTGGGGCTGTTCAGACCCACTGGTGGCATCTCACAGCTTGTGGCTTTGGGAGCTTTCTTAAAATCCCAGATCCTGGTGCCTTGTGGTCTCTGCAGGTCTCATCTATCACAGCCGGTGAGATACAGGTCTGCTCCTGCCCTGTGGCTCATGCTCTCGGTGCCTCTTTCCCAGTCTCTGGGGCTGCATTTCTGAGCAGGGAGATATTTGGGGATAATGAGCCCAAACGCAGCAGCCTCAGGACAGAGCAGCGGTCATTCAGCCGGGTATAAGAGGGAAAATGAAAGTTCCCTGCTACCTTCTCCCTAGGTTTGGCAATGTGGGGCTCTAGGACAACCCAAGCCAGAGGCAATCCCATCTTTAACAGCCTTTTGCTGAATACACCTTGCTGAGCCCAGGTGAATGAACTTTCAGCAGTCACACCGGTAGCAATGAGAGCTGCAGTTTAAGGGCTGATGCCTTGTGTTGTCTTCAAGCCTGCTGCCAGGTCATCTCCTCAGGAAATGGGAAAACAAGGATGGGGTGAGGGCTGGCAGGATGCACTTTCCCATCAGAGCAGCTCACTCCTCGTTACGCTGCCTCTTTGATTGGGACTTACTGAAAGGTCCTTTCAAGAGCTGGCGGAAAGCAGCTGGAGGGGCCAGGAGGCAGCTGCAGCATGTCCCTGTGGGGCTAAACCATGTCACCTGTGCCTGGGGGTGGTGATTCTGGGATGTCAGAGCCAACCTGGCAAGATGTTTTTTTCAGGGAGTGTTGGGAGACCAGGTCTGGGTGAGAGTCTGGGCTATCTTTGGATGTCAGTCTAGGATTGGATCTACAAGGCTCTGTGGTGTCTCTGTCCGATGGAGACAACCCTGACTGTGCACCACAGGTTTGGGGTCTCTGTTGGTGGAGGGAGAATGTCCTTCTACCCCATGGGATGTCCTCTTGCAGGTCCTCAGAGACAACATCCCCCCGCACACAACCAAGGCACAGTGGCTGAGGAGATCTCTCAGCCCTGCCACCTGAGCTCTGGTCCCCAGGATGGCCCTGTCACAGCGCTGGGTCCCCTGGGTCAGGCTCCCAGCCTCATGGACCAGTTCCCCAGGGATGCAATGACCAGCGACCACATCCCTCAATGGAAACCCAGAAAAGGCTTAGCATGAGCATGAATTCATTGCACCAGAGCCTGGCTCCAGCCTGCTGCTCTCCCCTACCACAAGTCCCTCCCATGAAGCTCACATGGGGATTTGTGTCCATCAGACCAAAACCAGCTCACATTTTTTGTTAATCTCCTCATGACCAGAGAGCTCTGCATGTCCAAGCTCATCTCAGGGAAACAGTGTGTCTGAGATCAATATGTCTGCACAAAATATTTAAGTCCCAGCAAACCCATTGCAATGAAAAACCACTTTCTCCCTCCAAACAGCCCAACTTTCCACTGGCCTTGGGTATATTTCCTCCACCTCCATCAGCTGCATTTCCCCAGGCTGTTCTTCTGGATGATTATTTCCATCAATATTACATCCAAAATCTACCGTCCACCAATAGCGCAGATCTGGGAACTTGTCCCAGAAACCCAGTGTGCAGCCAGCCCTGTTCACCAGGCAGGAACAGATCTCTCTTGTTCTGCCCCAAAACGACACTAGAGACACCCCCAAATGCCAGGGGAGGAGCGCTCCGAGGCCAGCTGCCTTAGCCCCCAGCTATTGGCTCCAGTCGAGCTATTTTCTGCTTGATTAGATTTTGTTCTGTGTTCCTAATTTCTCCAAGCCCCTCTAGATTATTTCTCTGCCTTTTGTTACAACTCCCAAATTCCCATTATTTGCACATTTAATTACTGTGCTGATTACCCCCTGCTTCTGGCAGAGCCTTCCTTGCTCTGAACAGAGCCTGGGTATCAGTCATGCTGGTGCTAATATTGTTCTCATCTGTAGGAAGGATTCAAGCGCCAGGGCAAAGGGCTGAGCAGTGTAAAGAAAGCTTCTGCCACTGGTGGGATAACAAGGGGTGGCAGGGGACCTTCTCTGAACATCCTCAGGCCCCCCATGGCAGCCTGAGCTGCTTTGGGGATGTTATTAGCTGCCCTCCTGCGGAGAGGAGAGGAGAGGAGAGGAGAGGAGAGGAGAGGAATTTTGGGGGTATTTAGCATGAGCTCACATGAAACCAAGCGCAAACTGAGTATGGGTCCAGTGTGACCCACAGCCCCAGTGCATCTTGTGCAGCACTGCAGGATGGGGCACAGGCTGGGGGCTCAGCTATGGGCAGGGCTGTGCTTGGCTGCAGCCTGTCACCATGGTATGTGAACAAGAGAAGGTCTGAGCATCAGTGGGAGAGAGGGAGCAGGAGTTACAGACACCACGTGCCCACCAGTGCGTGTCAGCCTGGCTCTCAATCCACACAGTCTGGACACAAAGAAATGCAAGTGTCAAGGCAGGTGTGATGGGGACTGAGAAAGGCAGCCGAGGCTGTGCTGTCCCCAGGACACTGCCTAGAGACATCCTTCACAGGTAGAAATGACCCTCTGGCTGGAGATACCACCTCTTCTCACCAAGGAGGTGGGGTGAGGACCCCCAACAGCCCACTCACCTATACTGGGGAGAGGTGACAGCCCAGGACCAGCTTATGCTCCCCATCTTGGCATGCTTGTTGATGGCACATGAGCCATCTGTATGCACATCATAGAAAGCCAGCGATCAGGGGGGATCAGAAGATTATACAGTTATGGAAGGGATGGACGCCACTGTCCCCAGTAAGAGCCACCTTGCCTAACCCAACCCTCAGACTGAGATGTGTACCAAGAGACACCCTAAGGATGCTCAGCAGATAATTTTACTAGCAGTCCTCACTTCAGAAGCTCTTGAGCCCCTCTCTTACTGTAAGTCTGGAATTTCTTGTTCTGGACACCCTCACCTAAATCTTCCCCATAAATCAAACCCAGGGCCAGGAACTCAGCCTTACCCTCTGGTTAGGCAGAGGGTGGGCTCCACCAGAAGCTTTTCTGTGGTCCATGGTTAGGACCAAGTGGTCCTGAAACAGGGTCAGTTCCCTGGGGACCAGGAGGAACAGGCACCCTCTGCCACCACCTTGGACATGAACCCAACACCTGCACCATGTAGGTGCAGACGCTACAGCACAAGCCAGGAGCAGGGGGTGATGCTGCACCAGACATGTGGAGCAGGAACAATGTGATCCAGCCCATCAGAGCCACGCGATGCTCCCTCAGCACAGGTCTCTGCTTGCAGTGCAAGTAAGGAAAGCTTAGCATCAACAAGTTTTGGCAAATTAGCTGAGCAGCAGAACAGGGGCACCCACGGCGCGATGGCCCACCGTCAGACTGGGAACATTGGGGTGGTGATGCATCAAACCCGGATCAGCTGTGCTCTGACATGGCATGACAGCAATGACTCACAGAGCTGCCCTCCGATAACTAAGGGAGGACAGCGAGGTGACGATGTATCCCTTGTGCCATCTCCCTTCCCCAGAGACAAATTGGAGCCAGAGAGATTCCCAAAATGAGGAAACACAGGCGGGAGGCAGCAACCTTGCTTAAGACTCATGGAAGATGAAGTAATCATGACTGAGGCAATATATCCCCCCATAATCACTGCTGGCTCCTAAGGGAAGGAAAAAAAAAATAGTCCGAAAACCAGTTTTTCATTGCACATGAAGACAAACCCGAGATATGGAGCGGCAGTTTGGCAACCACTGTCCCCTGTGCTCTGCATCACTCTGTCACACACTCGGGCACACACCTCTCAGGGATGCTCTGTGGGTCCAGGAGCATGAATGGGTGAAAGCATCTCATTTTGAAAGCTAATTACAAAAAAAAATAAAATAAAATACTACTTTCCCCTTCCAGGAGGGGCGCTAGCGTTTTGAGCCCCATCTTCCCTGAGCCGTCATCCAGCCACTGTGGTCTCCTCTTACTCTGAATTGCCCTTTGCAGACTGTTTCCTTCCACAGAGCCTAAAATCAAGCAAGAGGTTGTTGGCGAGGGCAGGGGACACCCCACCTCTTTGCTGTAATGTGGGATGGAGGGAAGACAATTAGTAATTTCCAACCCTTGGTAAATGAGCATTTGCCACTTGCAAAAAGATTACTGCAAGTGACTTCATTTGCTTTGGAAACGGCTGAGTCATTTGCAATTACTGACAGGCACCAGCAGCAATCCCAGCGCTGGTGTGGGATTAATGGGAGCGCCCGTAGCTTGAGGGCAGCCTCTGGGGAGTTTTCCTGGGGCTTCAGCATGGTCAGGGAGCCCCACAGCCACTGTTCCCCACCACCCATGGCTGTGCATGCCCGTGCTGCCACACCAAAGTGATGTGCCCGAGGCAAATCCTCCCACCCATCCCCTCCAGCCAGCCACCACGGTCCCCACCACTGTCACCACTACATACCCATATTGGGGTGCAGGTGGGGAGCCTAGGAACGGCTGGGGGGTCCCAGGCTGGCCAGGCTTTGCAGTGCAGTGAGTTTGACCTCATTTATTTTCTACTTGCTGCTGCAAAAGAGAGCAACATCCCTAAAAGCGGCAGGGCTGGGCAGGTGACCCAGTACCAAGCAGGAAGTCAGGCCACCATTGTCTGTCCCAGCTCATCCTCACTGGAGGAAGGGCAGGGCCAGCTCGGGCAGGTGGAGGTGGTTGGGGATCACCTGAAGGGTCCCCGCTGCTCCTGTAACCCGCAGCCTCCGGCGATGCGATGCTTTGCAAACCTCATCTGGCCTTTCCCACGGCAGGGAGCAGATTATCCATCCCCAAAACTGGGCTGCTCCCCTCCAGCGACCAGCTGGGGACGGGACCCTCCAGTCAATTTGCCACCAGATGGCACCAAATAAACTGGCCTGGGACACGTTGGGCAGCTCCGGGTCACCGCCACCCCCAAACCAGAGCCCGTCCCCCATCACCCCATCCCTCTGCCCCCCACCTCGGCCAGCAGCAGCCGGAGCTGCCTGTGCTGCCCGCGGGGCGATGCGGCCGGCTCAGCGCGGGGATATTTGCATCGGGTATAGTTTTATTTGGTTTTAGCAGCACCTGATACGGCACTCTCCCACTGCGTGTTTATATGCTGTTGGGAAATTAAATGATTAAGTTTGGGTGTTTGCACTTCAGTGGAAACTATTAGATGGTAATGAGTGTGGCCGGGTCTCGGCAGCCTTTTGTGTCAACATAACTGCAGGATCAGCCTGTGCCAGTCTGCGCTGCTGAGAGCAGCCTCGGTCACTTCTAATAATGTCAGACAAGTGCTTTTAAATATTAAGGACCTAGTTCTTTTATTTGCATTTTTTAGAGGTCTTTAATTTACATAGCAATTCTGATTGAGGTCTTTGAGCGGCAGAGCAACAGCAGGAGTTCATTCATTGGCTTTGTAGCTCATTATGAGAAGTTACGGAAGGAGCAGCTAATGTGATTCGCTGCCTCGTTACGAAATGGTAATGATGTAGGGTTACTAAAATTAGCAGCACAAATGGTTCACCCTCCTCACACCCCAGTGTACAGTGTAGACCCCCCAGCCCTCTACCCTTCAGCAAGGGCCTTTGGGGCCATTTTCAGCCCCTCCATTCACCATTGCCCACACCCAAGTTGTTTCAGTGAGGAGGATTTGGGGTGGTCCAGGGGTGCAAGGCTGGACCTTTAATCCCAAGATTATCACGGCTGCTTTCCCTAAGGTCCTGGGTTTCTTCCTCCTTCCTTCACCCCTCCTGTCCTCTCTGCTTCATCACTAAAAGCATTAAAATGGTGAAGTTTGGGTCAAAATTCCCCTTGCTAAAGGAGCTGGAGCTTTCTAGCATGGATAATTATTTATATATATATACAAAACTATATTAAAATATATATTCTAATATATATTTTATATATATAATATATTAAAAGTTATGTTATATATAAATATATTTTCAATATATATATAAATATATATTAAATATATAAAAGAAGACCCCAGGTGAGGGTCTGGGGGTCTATGGCTGGCCCTGAGGCAGCCCCATCCCTGGGAGGGATGCTGTGCTGGGTGTTTTGTGCTCAGGGAGGTGTGTGTCCATCATGGTTTGCTCCTGTTCCCAGGGTCCACCAGCACCCCTCTGCTCTGCTCTGGTTTAGAACCAAGGTTACAGCACCCAGTGTCCTGGTAGCACCAAACCACTAAAACCCACAACCTCAGCCAAGACCAAAAAACCTCAGTTGGGGCAGAGTTAAGGTTATTTTGCAGAGCTGCCTGTTGCCTGCCAGACACCTGGTGCCCATCCTGGGCCTTTCTGGGCGAGGTGAGCAGGCAGGACGGAGCTGGGTGTGGGCAGCGCTGCCCGCCGTGCTGGGGCTGGCAGAGCCTCCTGTGCAGGCAGGGCCTGAAGGAGCGGCGCTGCCCCCACCCCACGTGCATGCATGTGTCCAGGCATGCACATACATGTCAGGGCATGTATTTGTACATGTGTGTGCGCAGTCCCAGCATCACAACATCTCCTTTGAGCTGTCTACTTTCTTCTAGTCCCAGGTCCCACATGAAGCCAGCTGGGGAGCAGGTGTGGCCCTTAGCATGCCCCCTGCACCCCATCCTGCCTGCACCCCCACTTCCCACAGCCTTTAGCCAGCAGTTTCCCAGCTCAGCAGCATGCAAGGATCAGGCAAGAGTGCTCCGTGTCCCCCCTGCACATCCCCCTGGGCCCAGCTGGGGAGTCCCAGGTCTCTGACAGGAGCAGGTAAGGGTGTGCTGGGAGCCTGGCAGTGGCCAGGCTGGGCAGTGCCAGGCTGGGTTGTCCCCCCCGTGCTGCTCCTCGCATCCAGCCGGCTGCATGGGGAGGGGGAGTGGAGGGTGGAGCCTCCCGTATTACCAGATCCAGGAGCTGTAACATTCAGTCTCACAGAGAGACAGAGCCCATCAGCACTGGGCAGGGACAGCAAGGTGGGGGGTACAGCCAGAGCTGAGTGGGCATGGGGAGTGGGTCGGGGTGACCTGAGTGGGACTGAGCACCCGCTGCAGGAAAGGGTCTCAGAGGGAGCCAGGAGCAGGACAGGGCTGGGAAGGAGCAGTGAAGAGGGGTTAGGGGGAGGAAGGTGCTGGTCACCCCTGGGAGCCGAGGTCCTGATGCAGCCCCCCACCTGCAGGGCCATGCAGGAGGAGATCGGCTGTCCCCCACCCCTCGGGGACTGAGCTGGGACACTGTGGACAGGACAGCACAGGGTTGGATACAGCTATGGGGGGCCCATGGCAGCCCCCCGGCACCCGCATGCTGCTGGTCCTGCTGCTCGCACTCCCGATGCTTTGGGTAAGTGTCCCCAGGGAGGACGGGACTGCGGTGGGGAGAAGGGTGGGCAGTGAGGGTGGGGGTCCCTGCCTGTGACAGCCACTTCAGGGTCCAGCCCGCCCTGGGGGGTGGCATGTCCTGGTCAGGGGTCAGATCTCCCCCAGGACATCCCCACCCCTGTCCCCATCCCTCTCACTGTCCGACCCGGGGGTGATGTCGAGCTGCAGCCCTGCGAGCTGCCGGCACCGCTGCACCCACTCAGGTGCTTTCGTTGCTGCTTCTGGGGGAGGATTTTCTCAAACGCAGCGCAGGGACGGGCAGTGAGGGAGGTGGGTGATGCTGGGACCCCCCTGCGTTCCCCAGCGTTGGGACAGCGCTCGGGGTCCGGCCAGCGCAGCCAGCGAAGTTCCCTCGGGGTTCAGCTCCAGGGGCTGCTCCAGAACATCCCCGGGGAGGGTGACCCCACTGTGCCCTGCCTCAGGGACGGTCCCCTCCATCCCCACGTGGGTGCTGGCGGGGGCTTTGCTCGCATCCTCCTACACACCTCAAAGGAGCCCCAAACCCCAAGGGCCTGGGGGAGCATCCACAGGTGGAAGGTTGGGATGGCTGGAGGGTGCAGGGGGCCAGGACCATGCTTGGGGTGCTCCCCATCCTCGGACAGACCAACGGGGACAGCTGGCACCAAGCCCCCACTGAAATGGGGGGGGGACATGGAGCAGTTGTGCTGCAGGAGCAATGCATGGTGAGTCTGGCAGCCACACTGGCAAACCCATCCTGAACTTGTCAAATTGCTCAAACACCGGAGGGTGGAGGGCTCAGGCCGGAGAGGGCTTTGGCTCAGAATTTCTCTGCAAAACCTTCAGGATTTCTCCCAGCCATGCTTTGCTCCACAAGTTCCTTAGCTCACATGGAGAATGAATAACGGAAAGGAAAAGAAAATTAAGAGAAACGGAAGGAGGGAAAAGAGAAAGGACAAAGAAAGAGGAAAAAAGGAAGGGAAGGGAAGGGAAGGGAAATAAAAAGAGAGAGGAAGGGGAAAGAGCAGGGAAAGCAAGCAGGGCTGGGGGAGTGCTGGAGGCTTTGAGGGCTTTATAAGAAAAGTGATGTCATCAGGCCCCTTCCCAGATGGGGAAACTGAGGCATGGCAAGGATTTTCCTGCCCTGAAGCAAGCTCTGAAGGGAGCACTGCATATTACCTGCTCCAGTGCTCCAGCAGCCAGATTACTGTAAATAATAAAAACCAGTCACTTTGCAGGTAAAAGGGTCTGTGGCACCTCTGCCTGGTCCTGGTCCTTCATCACTACCATGAAGCAGCGTTCTTTCTCAGTGCTGTGCCCAGCAGCCATCACTAAAATGCATTTTGCAGACCAGGAATTAATCTCATGTTCAGCAGAAAAAGGAAACAAAATCTCCTGGGGGAGGTGAAGGAACCCCAGAGAAGTGGCTGCATGGTGACTAGGACAGGGCAGAGAAGGACATGGCTCACCCAAGCGATGCTTTAGTGCCCCACACTTCCCTCCAGTCCTTGGGCCCACTTGCCCACCCTCATCCCTCTATTTGTCCAGCTTTTATATCTCTGTCCACACGACTAAAATCAACAACCAATTGCCATGTCTTGGCCCAAAAACCCTGCCCCAAAAATGTCCTGTATCTGGATGCTGCAGCCCCCACCACATCCCCCCATGGGCACGGATGCTTGGGAATGAGCGTGTGAAATTCATGGCCTGCTCTCAGTTCAGCCTCAGCCTCCTGGCTCTCCAGCTGGAAGCCAAGGGGACAAAGTCAAAAACTGGGATTTCCAGGCAGCCCTATCCCAGGGTGCTGAGCCACCACATCCTGGCATTTTGGGGAGCTGAGGGCTCGAGGCGTACTCCTTGGTGTTCCAGCACTTCTGCCAGCAAACCCAAAAGCTTTAAGGAGGTCAGGGTGCCCCTTTTGCAGCATCTCCCCAAGGAACTGGGGAACGGGAGAAGGGTGTACTCTGATGGCTGTTGCCAGTGCCTGCGATTAAAACACACAAGCCTGAATGTGAGAAAACACACGTGAGCAAAACCCAGTCGGCAAGGGAAGGATTAGACATACCTGAATAGGTGGTTTTCTTAAATCTCTGATTACATGGTTTTCTTGCTCAGGCTTTGAACGTGCTTGCCTCTGCCCTGCTGATGGGGTTGGCCCCTCTGTAAGCTCAGCTCCTCTGCATGGCTCTTGCATCTTGGCGGAGCGGTGCCCTTAAGCATCACATGCTTTCAGAGGGAATTGGAAATAATTGCAGTGGTTCTTTATGGTGTTTACAAGGGAAACAGTGGAAAGCTAAGGAAATGTCAAGGTCCAAAAGCACAGTTACATAGATAGGCTCTCCCGGGGCTGGCTGCTGCAGAAATAGTGAATATTGGCTGGTGCCTGCTCAGGTCTTCTAATGCCTGGGATCCTGCTGTCTGCCCTTTCCCCCCTCTCAAGGTGCAAGCAACACATCCCGACTGTTCCATCATCCTCTATTTTCAAGAGCAAGAAGCTGAATGTCTGGAGATCATCAAGAGTGAAAGCCAAACGCCAGCAACCCCTGGACCCCCTGGGCAGCAAGGTGAGTGTAAGCTCAGGAGGGGGAGGAAGATTTGCTAAGGGGGTCTTTGGAGGATGATCCATAGTGGGAGGGGTGCAGAGCACACATGGATGCAGAAAAGCAAATATTTTCAGAAAAATGGAGAGCAGAACCAAAGCAAAGGCTAAGGAGCATCCCTGGAGAGCCCCAAAAAATGCTGCTGCAGAGAGAGAGGGAAGGTTGAGATTGCAGTCAGGGGGTATGGGTGGGCTGAGGGATGAAAACATCCACAGGGGCTGAGTCCCCCCCAGTTTACAGCATCTGGCAGTGATGGTGTGGTCCGTGCCCCGAGCAGAGCCTCCTGCCTCACTCCCATCCCGCCTACACCAACACTCCAGGGCCAGGCAGGGCTGTGGGCACAGGCAATGCAGAGCCCTGGCCATCAGCGCGAGTGTTGCATGGTGCGTGTCACCACTTCATGCCTTCTTGCTTTCCTAATTCAGTTAGTTTTAATGCTAAACATGTTTTGAGCAACTTCATTTTTACATGTCTGGGACTTTTAAACCAATTAACTAATTGAAAAACAGTTTTAAAGAGCTGCTTTTGTACATTTTTGTTTAATTGCATTTCAATTTCCATCCAAAAGCAGCTTGGCTCAAATTCTGGGTAAAAATTATCACCTAGTGAATAAGAAATGCGTCATTCAGTGAGTTTCATCCAATACAAATGTGGGAATGAAGCATCTCAATAAATGCATGTTAAGGTGCATAATTGCTTAAGTAACTGTGCAGAGATATAACGTTCATCCAGATTAGCAGAGAAAAGCCAAGTTGATTGGAAAAAGTCCGTTTTGCAGCCCAGATCATGCCAGCCAGAGGGAAGGAATCTCACTGTAAGAAAATAAGCAAAAGACATGAATGCATAATTAAAATCAGTATTTAATCCCGGGTTTCTGGCTTGGCTGCTGCCTCTGCTGTCCACCTGAACTGAATTTTTCCCTTCCCCCTCACTTGCTTGTGCCAGCATGGGGAGGGGCCTGCCGAGAGTGGCATGAAGTGATGATGAGGAGGAAGGCTTAGGTGCCCTGAACATGGTGGCAATATAGAGTGAAGGTACAGGACAGGGACATCAGGCTTCAGCATTCTGCTGGGGAACCCAGTGTGGGGCCCTAAAACTGGTTAGAGATCGTGTCTCAGTGTTTTCACTTCAAAATCTGCTCTGGCGCTTTCAGAATTTAATGCTCTGAAATAGCCGGGGAGGAATAACTTACTGGTGAGGCTCAAGTGATCTCTTTTGGAGGTGTCCAGATACCAGTTAGAGCAGCAAGAAATAAGGAGGTAGCCCTGGCAGGTCTGCATATAATTAACCAGTAGAAAGGCTGATCAGGAACTTCTCATCAAACTGCATTTTGAGGGAAAAAATGTTCTTTTCAGCCACATCAAGGAGAACGTCACAAGGATAATGTTGACCTTGGGGATGTTTTAGCCTCCCACGGGGAAAACTGGAATAAAGCAGGTTGTTTTGGGTCGATCCAAATGGAACACCTCAGGCTGCTGGGCTACACTGGCTGGGAGCCTGGAGACAGGGGACAGCATGGGGATGTGGTGGCCTCTGGGGACCAACGACACGGGGACACCGAAGGCACAGCTCTGCCTGCGAGTGGGCAGTGAGACACATTGACAGTTCCTTTCCTCATGTTTTTTTGCCCTGTGCACCCAGAGGCTGCCTCCATCACTCTTTTCCATGGGATAGTTGTTCCCCATTTTGCACAGCTCTAAGAAATGGGGTTTTTTTAGGTGCTGCAGCAGCCTGGGAGAGGGAAACAGAGTGGGAAGGGGGACTTAAAACTTTTCTCCCCATTCAAATGGAATTATTCCCTGGGATTGCACTGCAGAGCTGTGTGAATCCCAGCTCCATCCCTGTGCCACGGGCTGCTCCTCTGTCTCCCAACCAAGTGGTCCCACAGCACTCCCTGTGCTGGAAGAGCTCGTTCATACAGTAAGAGGTGCCTTTATATACAGCGAGATGGCTCTGCCTACAGACACATCCAGATACTCTGCTCAGAGCCTAAGAAATGAAGCAACCACTCTCAGCAACAGTCCCAATAGCTGTGCTCTCTTCACTATCCTCCAGAAAAAAAATTAAGATGTACCTTGATGTTGCAATGACAGCCCTGTAAATCCCTCCAAGCCTGGCCGGATACCTACAGACAGCTTTGCTGAAATCAGAGAAAACTAATTAGACTTGTCTGAGTGCACATTCCCTGCTTGGGAATAGATGTGGCTCCAGGTTAATAATGTATATCTACAAGGTTAATAATGTACATGCGCAAGAAGGAGAGCTGTCCTGGAAGTGTGATGTCTATGTCTTATCCCGGTGTGCTGCAGTGCTAATTCTTCAAGGCCCCACATCTGCTCAGCCATGCTCATTTCCAAGGCAATTGAAGAGTCATTTAAAGATTAACTTAGTGCTAGAGCAAAACATGTTTAAGCTAATGGCTCTCCAGCAAGTCTTGCAGTGCTTTCTCCTGTCCTCCTCCTTCGGGCTGGAGAGACATCCTGAGCTGGGTCACCACAGCTGCTGCGTGCAGAAATCCAGCATAAACCTGGCATTATTTTAGATGCCACCAGGAAAGTCCCAGCCTTTCCCACAGCCTCATTCCCGGAACCTCCTCGCAGGAGCTCTGGGTCTGATGTAGCCCCAGGAAATACCAGGTCCTGTCGACGTCGGGCTAAAAGGAGATCTCAGCACTGGGGGAGGTCATTCCCAGAACTGAAGCCGGGATGCTCCTAATTCCTGAGGGGGTACGGCATGGCCCTGTAGATCGGGTGACGACTGGCTGCTCTCCGCTCTCGTGTTACATCTGCACAGCCATGCCTGCTGGGGGCTGTGCCCCTGGACCGGGGGGCTCTGTGTGTGTGTGTGTGTGTGTGTGTGTGTGTGTGTCCGTCCGGCACGTCCCTTCCCAGTGGCACTAACCGTCCTGTCCCTCCCCAGGCTGCCTGACCGAGTGGGATGGAGTGAGCTGCTGGTCAGCCGTGTCCGTCGGCCAGTCCCAAGCCGTCACCTGCCCTGACATCCTTCACATCTTCAAGAAGTCCAAAGGTGCAGTGCTGAGTCCAGCCCAGACGGCTCATCCCCAGGGATGGAGGGCAGAGCTGCGCCCACCCCTGCCTGCCTGGGATCCTTGTGCCACCTCAGCCCTTCCCCTCTGGTCCCACAGCTCCTGCCCCATCCAAAAGCTTGGCTTATGTTGCAATCCAAGCAGGGGACAGGCAAAAGCAGAGATGCAGGGTGCTTCCATGCCAGGGAAGTCCCCAAGCCCTTTCATCACCCAGTACCCATCACCAAGTATCCCCTCTGGGCAGAGCACTTGAGGACCTCATCCTCCAACTGGGTGACACCAGGACACTCCTGTTGCTGCTCGGTGCCCTCTTTTCCCCATTCACACACCAGCCTACTGCTCCTGGCCTGCTCAGTACAGCTCCAAGCCATGCAGATGGAAAACACACCATAAGATCATGATTATTTCAATTCTGGGCACTCTCCTGGGGTGGGTGCTGCTCCCCAGGGAGTCACTGTCTCCATCCATCTTGGAGGCAGCAGAGTGTGAAGGAGAGCACCCGACCTGCCCCCATGGCATCCAAGTGCTTCCTTGGCTGGGCATAATTGAAAAGGCAATGGAGGGTTGATAAATGCTGCTTTAGGGCAGAAACAGCTCAGGAGAGGCTTGCTGAAGCCCTCACAGGATTAAAAAGCCCCTGTTTAGCCTTAATTCCCTCCCAACATGAGGATTCATGCTTGCTTTCACATCTTGCCCGAAGATGCTCTGGCATCTCCAGGCAGAGCACTGGAGGGCAGAGATGTGATCTGGGTGGGCAGGATGGAGCAGCCAGGCCATTCGGGTACCACGCTGCTGTCACAGCTGGGATGCTGCTGCTGGGATTTAGGCTCCATTCCGGAGAGCAAGGTGCCATCCCCAGGCTGGACATTCTGGGGGTGCTGATGCAGAGGCGATGCCGGTGACTCTCATGAGGTCCCCTCTTGTTGCTGCAGCGCTGATCCAGAGGAACTGCACCGAGTCGGGGTGGAGCTTCCCCAGCCCTCCCTACTACAACGCCTGTGAGCTGGAGGCCATTGGCAGCAATAATGACACCGAGGCCAAGGCAAGTGGATTCCCAGGGGCTGTGGGGCACCCTTCCTAGCATCACCCTACCCCACTTTGATCCATGATGATGGGCAGTGAAAAATGAAAGTGCTCTCAGGAATATCTTGTTGGCCTCATTCTTGTTGCTGGGCTGCCTGGAGGGATCTGAGCAGGGGCTGAGGCATCACCCTGCGACCTCCCTGCCCATTGCAGACCAGCACCTCCCAGCCCATGCTGCCTCACTCTGCTGTGCTTTCCCTTCCAGAAAGGCTATTTTGTCACCATGAAGGTGCTTTACACCTGCGGCTACTCCACGTCCCTGGCAGCCCTGTTCTTGGCCATCGGCATCTTCTCCTGCTTCAGGTAGGGCTCCGCGCTGGTGGCTCCATGGGCTGCAGCTGGAGGAAAGCAGGGTAAATCATGAGCAGGGTAAATCCCTCCCAGAGCAGCCAGAATCCATCCCTGCCAACACAGATAACCACGGAGACATGAGACAAATTGCAGCGTTGTCCTTTCCTGCTGACACACAGACTTTAAATGCTCAGGTTGCCCTTTCAAGCTTAGTTTTTGCAGACCTCGCTGTGCTGCAGAAGGGTGCTCTCTGGAGGTGGCTGGAGGATGTTGTCCAGCACACCTCTCCAGGCAGCAGCCTCGAGCACAGAACAACCCCGTCCTTCATGATTTCAGAGCAGGAAAACCACCTCCAGATCTTTGTGCTTGACCATGACCAACACATACTCCCCTCAGCTGGGGTTCACCTAGGGAAGCAGCTCCTGAAGGAGAAGCTTCTCTGCCCATCTGCTCTCTCTGCTCCATCCCTGGGCACAGCACATCTCTTCCTCCTGTAGGAAGCTGCATTGCACCAGGAATTCCATCCACATCCACTTCTTCACCTCCTTTATACTGCGTGGGGCTGCCGTGTTCATCAAGGATGCCGTCCTCTTCTCGGATGAGTCCATCGACCACTGCACAATGTCAACGGTAAGGTGCTGAGCCCCAGCATGGGGCACCATGTGTGGATCAGGGAGAGTTTTGCTACATTTGCAGCAGATTTAGCAGTGCAGAGGAGGGAGAGAGAGGCTGTGAACCTGGGGAGAAAAGGCTGGCTTGGGTGGACATCAGGAGTTTCACGACAGCATCCCTGCCTGGGGCCTGTCTGCAGAGAACATGCTCTGCCTTCAGAGCTCTCCCTGCTCTCAGAAAGACTCTTCCAGAGGGGTTAAAGCTCTGCACAACTCCATCAGCATCACGTACAAGCAAACAGGTCTTGCACCACTGGATGCGCAGATTTGGGGTTGTCAATAGAAACAGAACTCCCTGCATGTAGCCCAGATACAGCAGTGTGGATGCCAGCAGACATGGGTTTCTAAAGGTCCTACAATAATGGCCTGCAGTCATCAGCCCATGCTGCTCAGGCAGAGCCAAAAATACTGCAGGTGACGTGGGACCGGTGCAACATCTCTGGGGCTGCACTGAAAGACCATCACAGGTCTCCTCAAGCCAATGAATGGGGACATGGACTATCCCCTGTGCCCCCAGAACAGGCTCTGATGCCAGCCAGCACTGCTGAGCCTTCCCCCTTCCTCATCCTCACAGGTGAACTGCAAAGTAGCCATCACCTTCTTCCAGTACTCCGTCCTGGCCAACTTCTACTGGCTGCTGGTGGAGGGCATGTACCTGCAGACCCTACTGCTGCTCACCTTCACCTCCGACAAGAGGTACATCTGGTGGTACATCCTCATCGGCTGGGGTGAGTGCGGGGCCCCCCGGCACATCAACCCCCCTCCAGTGAGGTCCCATTGACACAGATGGGGGGTAGGCACCACTTTTGGGGTGCCTGGAGCTGCTGCTCTGAGATCTGCCTGGCCAAAGGTCCACCATCACGGTGCTCCCCATGGCTGCTATCAGCATGTGCTCCCACATCTCTCTGCATTGCATTGTGCTCGGTGGGGCACCCACCAGCTCCTGCCAGCCCCTGGAGCTGGCCGGGCAGCATGGCCTGATCCTTGACTTCATGACATGTGTGCAAAACCACTCAGTGACCTCAGCTACAGTGACCAAAGGGATTCTGCAGCATCTGCTGCTGACCCATCCTGAACAGAATCAGGTCCTTCCTTCTCCCCACATCCACCAGGGGCTGGAAACACTCATCCCAGGTGACCAGATTAGATGTAAGAGCACACAGGGGGAGCAGGAGGGTGGCCAGGAGGTGACACACAGACAGACACATCACCTTCAGTGGGCACCATCTCCTTTTAAAACCCGAAGAAGGAGGAAAGGCCTTCACCTTCCTGCTACCTGCAGAGCACCAGACCTGTCCCAGGCACATGTTTTTCAGGACAAGGGATGGAGGGGAGGTACGGGGGCTCCCCAGAGAATTGGGGTGACTCCATATCCCTGCCCGGGTCCTGTCCTTGCAGGTGTCCCCATGCTTACAGTCTGCGTGTGGGTGTTCACCAGGCTGCAGTACGACAACCACGGGTAAGAGCAGGCACCCCTCATCTTTCTCCAGGCCAGCTCAGCCACGGGTGCCCCATGCACATCCCAGGGGACAAACCTCTTGCATGGGAGGCTTAGGAGGGGATAAGTGGGGCAGCACTTCATTTTAATGTTATTTCTATTTTCTGGTGGGGTTGGGCCCTGTTGAAAGAGGTGCTGTGCAAACAGGGCAGGGGGCTGGGGGGGGTGGCAGAGCAAGACCTGAGCTAAGAGGGTGCAAGTGGGTGGCAGAGCCATTTCCCCTCTCCCATAGGTGCTGGGACGACTACACCAGTCTCTACTGGTGGGTGATCAAGGCTCCCATCCTCCTGGCCATATTTGTGAGTATATCCCCTGAGCATCCCGGCCCCAGAGCTGGGGGTCCCTCATGGACAGGGGCACCTGACCAGGGGTCTGTGCAGCACCTGAGGTACAGTGTCCCATGGCAGGTGAACTTCCTCATCTTCCTCAATGTCACCAGGATGTTAGCACAGAAGATCCGGTCCCCAGACATCAGCAAAAACTACAAGCAGCAGTACATGTAAGGGCTAGCTTGGTCAAGAGGGAGCTCCCCTCACCCCAGTTTCTGGGGTCACCCAGGGCAGCAGGGACCCTTCCCTGGAGGAGCAGAGATGAGGACCATCCTTGGAGCCTCCAAGACCTGCCTTTCATGGAAAACCTATTTTGGGTTAAGACCAAGTTCTTGGGAAGGGCTTGTCTTCCAGGGCAGCAGGACTCTCACCTTCATCCAGGCCCTTGCTCATGCCACCACTCTCCGCAGGAGGCTGACGAAGTCCACGCTGCTCCTCATCCCTCTTTTCGGGGTACACTATGTGGTGTTTGCACTCTTCCCTGAGCACATCGGTGTGGATGCCCGGCTGTACTTCGAGCTGGTTCTCGGCTCCTACCAGGTACAGACTGGGGAGAGGGGTAGGCAAAAACCCCATGTACCCATCCTGTCCCACCCCAAGATCACACCAGGAGACCCTGGGATGTGCAGCTGGGGCTTTGCAGTCTGGGTCCCAGGCTCCCCTCAGACACCAGAGACAAAGCAGAAGGGATGTGATCTGGTGAGAAACTTGCACTGATCCCACACCCCTACTGCCTGTGGGATGGGGTAAGAGGTGTGGGAGGATGCTAAATGCAGGCAGAAGATGATCACGAAGGGATCCAGCCCCTTTCATGAGATGAAATTTGCTCTTTCTGTCCTTTTCAGGGGTTCCTGGTGGCTCTGCTGTACTGCTTCCTGAATGGAGAGGTGAGTGCCCCCCCAGCACCAACCCCCTGGGCACTGCAGCCACACACATGGGCACACAGACACCCCCAGGGTGCACCCCAATGAGCACTGCATGCACACAACCATGCATGCGTGCAGACATGCACAGGGTCCCCACTCTCTTGCACCCCAAATCCCTTGTTGAGCCCAGTGTGCAGCTCGTGCCCCTTCCGCGGGTGCTGGTGGGAGCCCCTGGGTGACAGCACTGGTCTGTGGTGTCGGTTCAGGTCCAGGCTGAGATCAAGAGGAACTGGGGCAAGTGGCAGTCATCCATGGAGAGCAACGTCTTCAACCTGGCAACCCAAGACTTCACAGCATGACGAGGACAGCGTTTGGGGGCAAATACTTCCCTGAGGACGGTGGTGGTGGTGGTGCAGCTCCACAGCTATGGTTCCAGAAACACAATAAAAAGAATTTTGTAGGTTCTGGGTCTGGCATCCTCAGAGGGTGATGTGAATGACTGTTGCAAAAGGCTCTGCCTGTTCGGGTACTGGCATCTCTCATTGATCCATGATGGTTTCTCACCTGCCCAAGTGGTCAGTGTGTTAGGAAAAGGGAAGGGAGATTCTCCACCTTTTCTGCCCCAGGACTGAGTAGGAAACACAAATTTCATTTCACAAAGGACATTTGGCATTTTTCATTTGGCACTGGAATAAAAACCAAAGTGGTCCCAGCGCTTTTTCCCCTTCCTGCTTTGGTTTATAAAACTGTTTCCCTTATGGGAAGATGCCTAGACACAGCCCCTAGGAACCATTCTGGAGGTGGGAGTAGCAAATTGAAAGACAGCTGAAAACTGACAGCTTCTACATGAGACTCCGGATGGTTTCATGACTCAGATCATCCCCTGCTTTCCAAAATGTTTCCCATTCTCCCGTGCCTGTTGCTTCAGGTGTGCTTGGTGCCAGGGAAGATGGTCCATCATCCTTGCCATGCCAGCTCCTAGGGGCTCTGCACCTCTACCAGGGGCTCTGCACTGGAACAATGGGACAATTTGAAAACAGTAGGACTCGCTCTTCTTCACTGGGGAGTTGTTTGCCTGGGACTAGTGAGGTTTTCACCAAAAAATCTTGTTCTGAAATCCAACATCACTTTTCAGAGGTTTGCTTTGCTCTACAAACCCAGATGACTTAGTACCAGGCTTGCTAGAGGGTAGAAACCTGACAATATCTGTAAAGCCTGGAAATATTCCCTGGGGGAGAAATATCTGCTTTTTCTCTGTCTGGTGAAACAGCCAGGCTCTGGGCAAACCCATGGAGGGAGGGGGAGGAGGAAAGCGAGGAAGAACACAAGATAGCTGCAAAATGGGCTGTGCCAGAGGTGCTGGGGTGCTGCGTCCCCTCCAGGTCAGCACTGCCACCACTATGCCACAGCCTGGCCATGTTCACCCCCACGAGCATCCTTTGCCCTCCCTGAGCAGAGCTCTCGCCTTGGCAAATGCTGTCTCCAGGAGCAAGAAAGGCCTCGAATGCCCTTTCCCTAAACCTCCTGGCCTCTCCCATGTTCCCAAGACCCAAGCCACCCGATCTCAGCAGAGTTTCTCACACTTCCTGTAATTTCTTCATGTAGCCACATGTCCTTCCTTAAATAAAACCCATGCGTTGGCCCTTTTCCAGACTGCATGATCTCCAGAGATCCTGTCTGGTTTCACAAAGAGGCGTTGAGAGGGAAACAGAGCCCCAGACTTGATTTGAGGTAAGATGGAAGATGCTTCATTAAACAACCCCTCAGGCCAGCAACACCCTGCTTCTCCAACCAGGAAACCTCCAGAGGAGCACAGCAACTGCCAAATAAATGCCTGCCTGCAGCCACGAAGAACCCACAGGTGAATAAACATCTCTCTCCATCATTAGCAAGGAAGATGCTGTTTTGGCGGGGATGCGAGGCAGACAGCAACAGCAGCTTGCACCAGGGCTGGGGATGCTCAGTGGGAACGTCACAGTTGCCATAAAGCTTTGAAAAGCACTGGGTTTTCATTCATTTTAGCTGGAAATGGGTTTTTCTGGGGGCTAAACTAGCACCCTAAATGACCTGCTGGTTTACTGGGCACTGATCCCGTGGCCTCCTCAGTGCGCGGAGGAGCCTGCAAGGGCAGGAGCCCCCCATGGGTGCAGGAGGGCTGATGTGCCACGGCCACAGGGCCTGTGCATCCCCTTCAGTCTGCAGAAATGGTTTTCAAAAGGGTTCACTGCCTCTGTAGTGTGGGCCGTGCTCTACAGACACATTATTTGGGGTAGCCGAGCCCAGGCAGAGCAGGGCCAGGTTTTCCCCGTCTCCCCTCCAGCGTGGCGCAAGGTGCCACAGTAGCCTGGCATCCCTGGGGGTCCCTTGTCCTCCCCTCGGGCAGAGGGGTGTCCGGGAGAAGGGGGGTGTTTTGCCTGGAGCCGGTGGGTGGCACTGCGGCCCCGCAAGGCTGCCTTGGGCGCTGACATCGGATCCAGGGTGTCAGCCCTGGAGCGCACAGTGTCCCCACGCAGACCGCCCTGGACACAAGGCTCAGCCGGCGTGGAGGGACCCTGGCACGTCCTGGGGGCTGCCAGCTGCTGGGCCTGGGTGCCAGCACCCAATGACTCTACTCGGGGCCCTGAGAGCACCCAGGGAGTAAGGTAAGGGGGCCACGCTGCTTTGGGGGAGCGTGCGCCCAGCCCCGCACATGTCCCAGGGCTGGGACCTCCCAGGGTATCCCTCTGCAGCTCTGGCCAGGTGAGGGTTAATCAGCGATGGGAATGGGAATAAGGCTTAGGGCTGGGAGAGCTGTGCCTTTGCCTGTTGCTTCTGTCCCTGCCTGCATCCCTTGCTTCTCCGGGGGCTGCCAGGCCACCCTTCTCGGGTGCCAAGGGTGCCCCCGATGCCAGTGCCTGCACCTGCTCCTTCATCCCTGCTCTGGGAAGTTCCTGGTGCTGCGGCTCAGGGATTTCTCCCTGCAAATGTTCCTTCCCCACGCCCCGGCTCGCTGGGGCAGCTTGTTTCCACCCTGCTCTGTGCAGGCAGCTCTGACTCTGCCCAGCTCCTGCCTGCGCAGAGAACAGCCAGAGCTTGGCCCCACAGAACTGACATGGATGTAGCCAGCCCCACAGTAGGGCGAGGGTCTGGATGCACCCGGCACCAGTGGCTTCAGGGAAGGGTTCAAACCAAGGCACCTGAAACACCCCAGGGTCCCACAGGCTATGCCAAGCATAGCCTTTATCCCCTGCTGTCACCCCAAGGGCATGTTTTTAGCACCCAAATTAGCATTGAGAGTACCCCTGGGTACCCGAAGCTCCCATTCCGGTTGGGATTTAGCTGGTTTTGCAGGCAGAGCTGTGCCCTCGTGCCAGCCCAATGCCTGGCTGGGCACCCCAGGGTGGCCCCCAGCTTCAGAAGGGCAGGAGACACATCCCAGGGTTTCCACCCTCCTGTGCCTCACCACAGGTTTGCTCTAGGCTATAAGCAAAGGGAAAAAAGACCAGCTCAGCTTGCACAGGCTTTCCAGTAGTGACGAGGCCGGGTTTGGGGCAGCTGGCAGCTGATGGGACCCACTAAGCATTCCCTGAATTTCCTTCTGTGACCAACAGACCATGTGGAAAGTGCCCGCATCCACAGCAGGAGGATGTCCCTGTCCCTGTCCGTCCTCCTCACCGGCCAAAGCCACCGACCGCACAGGGAATGTTCTTTTCCCGTGGGTATAAGGCTGTTTCTTTGTTGCTGAGCTCCCCACGGGCTCCCAGTGCTCTTTGCCCTAGTTGTAGCAAGTCCCTGGGAGCTAACATGGGGCTCTTCACTCTCTCATTCACTTGTTTAGCCTCTCCAAGCCTGGCTTGAGCTCCAAGCCAGTAAAAAGAGCCCTGGGATCTGTTTTTAATTGAAGAAATCAACGTTATGCTTCCCAAAGCACACCTTTGGCATCTCTTGTGCAGAGCTAATTCTCTGTCCCATGCTGCACGACCTCTCCCCGAAGAGCTGAACCCGGTCTCCTGAGCTGCCTCATTTACTCAGTCTCGAACAGAAAAGGAAAATTATTGACTGAAAAGCAGAATCGAATCAAGGAACTTCACTTCCCAGCTCCCAGGGTGCTCAGGTCTACAGTCTTGGCCCTGTTTTTATGGATTGTGTGGGATGCCAGCAAGCACAAGGAGCCCATGGGTGAGGGGCTGGAGGCAGGGAAAGGCAAATTTCCATGGGAATGCACCAAGAAGGGAAGCCAGGCTTGAGAGGGCAGGAGCTTCAGCTCCAGTAAAGCCCACACCAGCATGGAAAAGGTGCTAGAGGGTATTTTGGGACTGGATAATCAGCAGAAGAGTTGTACAGAGCCAGCGATGTTGGAGAGATGATGAGTCTCCTCTGACCAGGCTGGGTGCTGGGGTGGTTGCTTCACCCCCAACGCAGCCCCATGCACCCCAAAAGGGGTGAGACCTACAAGCTGAGCACCCCTCCATGCTCTCCTCCCAACCCTGGGTGCCCCCTGTGCACTCTACACACCCATGCAACTACCTGGGCATGCAAAGAGCCCCAAAAGGCCTCATCAGGCAGAACAAGAGAGGAGACAACCACATGTCAAGCCTTCCTTTTGCACTATCCTGTGCCACCCTGGTCTGGCTCAGACCCACGGGGGTCCCCCCAGGCAGGGTGGGCAGCAAGGGTGAGGGGTGCCAGTGTAGAAGCGGGGTGACCCTGCATGGCTGCTGATCCTCCAGGCCATCGGATGCTCCTGACATGGAAAGAAACACCGTGCTGGTGCAAAAGGCAACAGCGGAGGGCAGGCATGGGGGGAACAAAGCAGAAATGACAGATGCCCCTTGCTCACAAGCAAGAGGAGGAGCTGCGGCTGGTGCTGGGTGCTGCACAACGGGAATAACACTCCCAAAGTGCCACCAGCTCAGAGACAACATTGGCAGCAGAGTTGGCACCAAACTCCCCCCCACCCTCGCAGTTGTCCCTCTGCTCTTTCCAAGTGCATGTCACTTCTGGGAGAGATAGATGGGGAGGTGCTGGCAGGGTCCCTTCCCACCTCCCCTCCACCTCCCCACATCCCATTTGGTGCCAAAGCCAGCCCAAAGTCACCTCAACATCTGGGACGCCCTGTTCTACCACCGTGACTGCTCTGGGTGGCCATGTCGCCAGCCCAGAGCATGGCCAGAGTGGCCACAGTGCAGGGGTGCTCGGTGCCCACAGGACCCCGGGAGCGCTGGGCGATGCGGCCACGGGGGCTGCAGGCGCCGCCAGCCCCATGATTGGCGCAGCGGGGGACAAATGCCACAGCTGAGACGGGCCGAGGCTACCTGAAGGACCCCGCATGTCCTCAGGTTTCACTCATGACCATCTGACAGCAGCAGCAGCTGCTCTGCCAACAGGCACTCACTGAGCCAAAGCCTCTAGGAGTCGAAGGAGAGGGAAATTCTGGCCCTAAAAGGTCTCTCCTTGGGATTTTGCTCTCTCCACCCAACAGTAAGTACTGGGTTCACTCCTGGGCTGATGCCAGGCCACCGGGCAGGGTCTATGGGGTCTTGGATGTTCAGGGCTTTGTCATTCTCGCTGTGCCCAGAGTGGTACAAGCAATGCCCGGGGATTCACTGGAGGTGGATGGGAGCAGGACAACCCTCGCGGTCGCTGTGGTGGTGTTTAAGGCTGTAGGCACCCGCTGAACCCCCCTGCATGGAAAACAGCCTGTGATGGGGGGAGAAAGTCCCCACAAAGGTGCAGGCAGGGCACAGGGATGAGGCTGCCAGTAGCCACGAGACCCTCAGTGGCTGTGGACCCGCTGCCAGGAAGAGAGGGGACAGTGGGGGATGTGACGGGTAACCGGTTTCTGAGCCACCTTCCCACTCAGAGTAAGGGAGCTACAGGCAGGGCTTAAAAGTCACAAGTCGCCTTTCTCCTGGCTTCTCCTCCTGGAGATCTAAATATAAACCTCAGCTTGGCCAAGCCAAGGTTTCAGGAAAGGTC